TTTATAAATGAACCTGATGGGAGCGAGTGCGCTGCATATACCTACTTTCAAGGCACCGTCAGTGGTCCGTGGACCTAAAGTCCGAAGTTATCCTTGCGGATGTTCACTTGACACGCCGAACACAGCACTAATCATTGTGGTCGAGGGACCCATATAGACACTTGGAAAAGTGGATAGCCTGACTACCGAAAGTCTGTGTGCTTCTGTGTGGAGGCATAGATTGATGATATTGTTCAGTTTTTTACATCCTTGAAAGCAGAGTGAGAAGGAAGTTGTGAGCAAGAGCTAGCGACAAGGACCCTCTGTCGCATTCAATTAGGATATTTTTTGGAAACCTTGGGTTTCCACGGTCCACACTGGATTGTATTCTGTTTTAACGCGTTGCTTGGCCCTTCGTTGAGTGGCGCTGGAGTTATAAGATATGATTTTGGTGGTAAGGAGGAAGTATAGCTCATTGTAATGTCCGGCAGATAAATGAAGCAGAATGGTGAATTATTGGCTCTCAGCCAACGATCTGAGAGATTCCCGTCATAACCGGTGTGTGGATTAGCTTTGTGTGGGGATATTAGAGTAATTATTTATTTATGGCACTTCGCTCTAATTCAAAATCGGTACATTGGACAAATTGCCAGAGGTGGTTTAGAGCATTTATCAGGCCGGTGCGGGGCTTTACGTAACTTGAAAACGAGTTTAGCTGCAACCACCTTCCAGATCACCTCTAGGACCTGTATTTGAACGTCTCAAATGAGTTCCCTGATGGCAAGCGTAATTTCTCTTTCAGTATTAGCTCTTGAGGCTTCAGACGAATTGCAAATAAGCAAACAATAGCCGCTGTAAAATTCACATCCGCTGGAGGCTAAGCGCCTCTTTGTGATGTGAAAAAATGTGCTCGTCGTTAGGGGATGAGGAGATTATACGAGTTGAGAACGCGCTCTGGGAGGTTCCGTCTCCGCCGTAAATCCACGTTGGTTTGAGTTTGTATGTCTTCACACCTTGATAAGTTTGAATGTGACAAAATGACTTTAGACGTCAAATACAACAAATTGGTTGCACGCAAACTGTCCATTTCTGTTTTTCAAGGAGAAGCGGTTGGCTTAGTTCTGCAGTGACGTCTAGTTTTCAAAAACAGCACACTTCTATGTTTACGGGTGAGGTCTGGTATGGTGGCTTATTTTTATATGCTCCATTAGCGGATTTCTAATTTATGGCGGTTTCGCGTTTTACACAATGCCAGGTTATCTTCTGTTTCTCCTGTAGTCAAGTTTTTAAAACAAATAATTTAGACCTATTTTCCAGAAGTGGAAAACTGTCTGAAACAGTCCAAAGGATATATTTCAGTGGATCTTTGCTTCTGCGGGCGAGATTTTAAGTTCGTAAAATGAATCCGTAAACTTAACATCACAAAACCTAACCACGTACATTTAGCTGCCCTCCGCCGACCTGTCTTTCCTCTGGCAACACTTTTCGACTACTTATACCGCTTCTTTCAACAAAAGTTTGGCTGGAACTCAATTTTGTGTTTTCGCTAATTCTGATTCAAGCTTAACTACATATCCAAGACTCTGCGCTTGGAACTTTGAGTTGCTTCCATTTTAGTTAATAATATTTTCATTCTGTATATGGCTGCTGAGAAAAACAGTAGTGTCCTGTCTAGAAATATGCCAGCGGGAAAAGTCAAAGAGAAGTTAAACGACGACATCAGGTTCGAGCTGCGAACAAGCCGGTTGTCGCTCTCGAGCTTATCGCACTAAGCCATCGAGCCACGAGCACCGATTTGTGAAAACATCTTTTAAGCGGGTAAGCAGTCCTATGTTAGGGTATGGATCGCGTGACTCGGTTGAGCCAAGGATTTGCTTGCGTTTGACTTGCACATGCAATCATGCTCGAGCCAGCATTCGGATTGCTTAGTGGTGCACAAGCCAAGAAGAGCGTGCACTCAAATTGCATTTGCGCACAAGCCAAAAAAGTCGCGGACTAGAAGCACACCCAAGTTACTTTCGCCGAAACTCTTAAGCTGTAGAAGTTGTGACTTGAACGGATAGTTGGTCTAGTGCAGTGGCATCTTCCGGTGACATGTTGATCGTAGAATTTTGTTCAAGTGAGCAAAGTTTTAAGGTCACAAACCGTCATAAAATCGCATTTTGTTATCGGTTTACGCGAAATAAAACACGAACTCGTACCTTGATATATATTTTAGCGTTCTGTGGTATTCAGTAGGAATAAAAAACATTTAAAGAAAATCTAATGCAAATTCTATCCTCGATCACTGACGCTTGTTTGCTTTACACTCCTCAGATTTAACAAATGTGATGATCTCGTTCGGCGAACCTTGTCAAATCGTCTTCCCACGGATCTCAACTTCCCTTAAGTGCGACGCTGTTAGACAACAACATTAACTGCTCAGTATCGATGCAAGGGCGAGATCTGTGGATGATTCCCTTTCCCGGATATGCATAACTAGCCTGTAAATAATACAGTATCTCGAGATAGATGCAGGTATCATTCCTATTATGAATATGACGCTCTCTAATTGGTGACCGCCATAAAGAGGTCGCCATGATAAGGTAGCCGTTGTCATTCACCTCGATTACTTATTGTAACTGGTAGGCGCGCTTCTATGCACGAGGCTGATTATAAGACCTCACTCATGCACAGCAACAACCTAGCAACAACCTTTCTGGGCCCGTGTCCATATGCGGCATTTAACCGACAACCTAATCCAACCTGTTCTGTCGCATTGGTAACTATATGCGTTGTCGCTTATCTATGCCAGCTACGAAATACACTGGGCCAGTATTCATGCGCACCGATGAATGCGAGAACTAAACTATGCACTCTTACCTAATCCATTGGCGAACGACGGATCTCATATTCATATCTGTACTTGATGTCGCCTACCTTGATTACTTTTTGAAGCTGCTAGTCCACTGCCTGCATACGACGCTGATTTTTAGGCCTCAACAATGCGCGGTGTCCGAATCTAACTGCCAGCGTCATTCCCATAATTGTGCGCGCTTCCACTTGTCTCTGCTCTCAATAGTAAACACCAGTGCCTATGCGGGCCGATAAAAATGGAGCCCTAACTATGCGTGATATCCTAATCTAACAACCAACGACGGCCCGTCATACCCGTAAGTGTAGACGATATTACCTATATTGGCTACTTTTCGTAATTGCCGGGCCGTCATCTATGCGCAACGCTAGTATGAGGCCTCGACTATGCCCGGCAGCACAATCCAATGTCCAACGACGGCCCGTCTACCCATAACTGCACTCGATATCAACTACCGAGGCTAGTTACAGTAACTGCTAGGCCCGTGCACATGCTCGTAGCATGCCACCACTACATATAATAAACTAATCCAACGGCCAACGGCGGCCCTTCATATCCACACGTCGTCCACCTGCCATTCTCGTGCCTGAAACATTCACAACCAACTTTAACAAATTATGTTTCTATCTATTGGTTGCATCGGTGCAAACCTAATATGTGGTCAATCCAGTTCTCCGTTTTATACCCCACAAGGTTTCTGGAGAATGTATAATCAACTACAACTCGTACACATCTTTTGCGACATCGTTTAAAATACGATTCAAAAAAGTTGCAGTGGCTTACCCACTAAGTATCCAACAAATCCTTTTATCCACAATTCCCGGTCGGTGCTCGCCCTGAGCCTGGAGATTTATTGTTATAAGGTGAACTCAGGAAGTACGCAGTTAATCTCATTGGCTATAACGAGGGAGCCGTTTGTACATCGATGGTTCGAGGGCGGGATTCGGCAACCGTGTGCATAAGTGAGCGCAGAAAAGTCAAAGATAAAGAGGGGTGCATATTTTTTAGTCGTAGGACCCGGTGATGTAGACTTGAGCCTCAGGATCCAAGGGCCACGCGCGTCCCCAAACGTGCACCCATGGATGCAGTCGTAGCGAAGATCTAGTGAGCTGGCAGGTGCTTTGTGTCGAATCCGCTAGCTTAGAGCACCAAATCTCAAGTTCACCCGAGTCCTGCTCTCTGATATCGGTACAGTGTGGCATAATAAAATCGACAGTTCGGTCTTCCTCATCGAAGTTCGTAACCGTCACATACTCAAGCACAGTAGAAATGTAACCAACAAGGGGCATCCTTCTGGGCTGCATCCGACTCATCGTTCATGTTCTCGTGCCTGAAACATTCACAACCAACTTTAACAAATTATGTTTCTATCTATTGGTTGCATCGGTGCAAACCTAATATGTGGTCAATCCAGTTCTCCGTTTTATACCCCACAAGGTTTCTGGAGAATGTATAATCAACTACAACTCGTACACATCTTTTGCGACATCGTTTAAAATACGATTCAAAAAAGTTGCAGTGGCTTACCCACTAAGTATCCAACAAATCCTTTTATCCACAATTCCCGGTCGGTGCTCGCCCTGAGCCTGGAGATTTATTGTTATAAGGTGAACTCAGGAATTACGCAGTTAATCTCATTGGCGATAACGAGGGAGCCGTTTGTACATCGATGGTTCGAGGGCGGGATTCGGCAACCGTGTGCATAAGTGAGCGCAGAAAAGTCAAAGATAAAGAGGGGTGCATATTTTTTAGTCGTAGGACCCGGTGATGTAGACTTGAGCCTCAGGATCCAAGGGCCACGCGCGTCCCCAAACGTGCACCCATGGATGCAGTCGTAGCGAAGATCTAGTGAGCTGGCAGGTGCTTTGTGTCGAATCCGCTAGCTTAGAGCACCAAATCTCAAGTTCACCCGAGTCCTGCTCTCTGATATCGGTACAGTGTGGCATAATAAAATCGACAGTTCGGTCTTCCTCATCGAAGTTCGTAACCGTCACATACTCAAGCACAGTAGAAATGTAACCAACAAGGGGCATCCTTCTGGGCTGCATCCGACTCATCGTTCATGTCGAAGTATTGCGACCCATCTTCACTTCCGAAATCATGTCGACTATATCCGAATAAATGAGCTAGTAAAATAGCCAGACCTGGTGCGATCCAACTATCCCAGGTAATGTTGATGATCTAGCTGGAGGCTGCATGGACACATGCTTCAGTGGAAATTCCTGGTGCAAAACCGAAAAATCGCTATTTAGCCGTCGCCTAACGGATTTGCTGACACCGACCCACACGGGCTATGGTTTTGAGACATCAGTTATTAAACGCCTGAAAACGACTTGGTTTCGCTCCTCAAACAGGCCAGGTTTCACAGCCACACAACAGAACAGCCCGTCCTGCAACCTGATACACACGTTGCATAATATTCACGGATACACTGCATTGACCCCACAGGTGTTTCAAATTAGCAAACGCGACCGTAGCATCGCAGGTTCGGGCATTGACCTCATCTGTCACACCACAATAAAAGCTAATACAACTTCGAATGTATATAAAAGGCTGCACCACACCACTTCTCTAACCGGATCAGAAGAATACCTGCGATCTTATATAATCGTTGTTCTACCTCCGAGCACTTCACCGGCCAACCAAAAATATCCCCCTCCTTACGGAGTTGCACGTCCAAGCCAAACTATCTCAAAAATGATGTCCGTTACAGGGCAGCCCAGAAACCGAAGTATTTTAGTGCAATGGTGGTATGGCACTGCTTAACCCAATTTGATAACACACCCACAACTATGCTCTTCCTTCTTTTGACTTTACCCTATCGCCCGCTTGCTCCATTACACGCAGCTACGAACAAACGCTTTATTCTGGCTGTAGCCTTATGCTCATGCCTCATGGTACGCCACCCACTTGTTGGGAATAAGCATCGTTATGATAACGTGACACTTTGTGGGTACGAAGTGCGACGTGACGCCTCAGAGGCAACCAGTTTTGCAAAGTACCATGCTAGTCATTGCGCGTCTCCCATACTCGCATATGTCCACATCAGTTCACATCGACTGCACACCTAATGTCTACACCTAAATATCGGTTGTCGTTTTTGAAATTCGGTAGTGTCACTTCATTGAAGTGGTTGGAGAGTGTGTCAACTTTTGACTGTCTGTTATTTCGGGCGGCATTCTAACTCACATCGAAGTGCATTCTGGCAAACCCATGTGACGTTTTCCTATTTTGAGTCCCCAATGTAGACGCGGCCTTCGTATTGCCTTGTTTAAATGGCGGCAATGAATCACCGCGAATCCTCGATGAACCCAAGAACATCCTAACCACAATGACAACCATAAACAGCTCATTCAAGATATTCATGTATGCAGCTGTCCACGCACCCAGTTACGGCGCTGCGAAGCTGCGATATTCACTGCTTGGAAGCAGTGAATATCTTACGGTGCTGTCTGCTTCTTCTGCTCACAAACCCAATAGTTTATCCAAATGCACTGTTGGTGACTCGGTATATCGGTGAAAATCATACACTGACTTAAGCCAGATATAACGTATGCCGACTATCATAAACAAACGAGATTTCTCACCGTTTTCACAGAAGATATGCGCAAAGCCAACGGCAGCCACTTCACGCCCATAATGACCCTGAACTCATTTAAACAACTTCTAATAAAGCTGCGGTCGTGTGTGGAGGACTAAAGGACTAAAATGAATGCCATCAAATGCTAAAACTTTGTGTTAAAGTTTCTCTTTTTGAACCACGGTTTCAAAGGAATTATGGGTATGCGTCTTTCACACGGCTCTAAAAGACGGGTTAAATGCTTGAGGCGCATAAAGTAAGGAAAGGTGAATTGTCATAGCAAGCGATAAAATAGTCTGAAATACGTTGGAGAATTTAGTCCAGGGGATCCGCGTTTCGCCGTTTGAGATTAGTACAATTTGACGTTTATGGGGTGAATACATAAACTTGACGGCATAAAACGTATCCAACTGCCTCGAAATGTCCTCCGTCGATTTCCCTTTCTTCACACAACCTTTTTGCGGCCAGACGCACCACTTATCTTAGTAAAATTTTGGCAGAAATTTGACATTTGTGTTTTAGGAAATATCGCTTCAAGCTTAACTATAGCTAAATACATGTATACATATTCAGTGCACTTCGCACTTGGAACTTTAACTTGCTTTCATATTAGTCAATCATATTTTTATGCCGTGTATGACTGTCAGCAAAAGCGGTAGTGTCCTGTCTAGAAAGGTGCTAACGGGGGAAGTCGAAAAGAAAGCCGGACGACCGCCAACACGCCGTCCACAACGCCAACCCTTATCTCACGGGCCCACGGAACAAAGGTTAACAATTGGTGCAACACTGCTGAGTGGCTTGTCCTGGTGTGAAGCCGTCGTGTTTGTGTATGGATCACGTGACTCGGACCAGCAAATCACTTGCTTGAGTTTGGCTTGTCCAATGGGGTTCCATTGTGCGAGTACTGAGCGGCCCAGGTGCAGAACGAGCTAAATGCTTGGGGCGTCGTGGGTGGTTTCGATCAAGGATTCCATCTGACAATCACAGTGTCGCCGCACGACTTGTGTTTTCATAAACCACTGTTCAAGGCTTTTTATGGCTCGTCGAATAGACTACTAGTATTTTCATTTCATTAGTAGTCTTTCCACCGTTTGTATGCCAAATGTACTTAGAAGATCATTAACGTAGTTGATTCTGTCCACATGCACATGCTTAGGCTGTGGAGTTGTTCTCCCCTGAAGGTTCTCCCACAGCCTCGGACGTACTATAGATTCTGGCAATGAGACAAGCCCCTAGCTAACGCACATTCAGGTCACGTACGATCATTAAGTCGATGGCAGCTTCACAAGATAGTTGGTCGTTGAAGGCGGATGCTATTAAAATCCTATGAAGCCTTCATGAACTCCCGATAAGTCACAAAAATGTAAGAGAGAAGAGCTGTGGTAATAGTGATATTCGTTGATGAAGCACAAAACGATGTCGAAGACAAAGCGAACAAAAATGAGACTAATTTTCGAATGTGACTCCGGCACTTACGCAGTTCATTAATGGGGCGAAAAGTGTGGATATAAACAGGGAATCTGCTCGAACCGCTGAACCCCACAGGAAGAGTCCTGAAGACAAATGTAGGGTTTATTCCTAACTTTACCGGAGTTGCAGTTATTGAGATGGCGACAGCAAATATGCAACGGTTCTTCTCTCTGTGGTGGTTATTCATTTTGCAGACTCCTAGCCATCTCACTTCGCATGGTCTGCTGTTGATAGGTGTGCAGTCTAAAATTTCAGACTTCGAACGTTGAGCGAGAGCTATTCAGACAAAAGCTGGGCTTCTCGGTAATGCGTTCAAGCACAAGAGCAGGTTCATTGGCGTATTGCTCAGCTGGTTGCCTTCGAAGGGTCCAAACAAGTAACTCAGTTTTAATTTTATATATGCTTCTGGGGAATAGTGAATACCCACTTCAAAGCTCTCCAAAAACCTGATCAAAACTACTGGCGTAGGACATTGTAGAAGGCTAGCATGGAATACCTGGCGGTTCCACCAAAGTAGGGGAGAGTCAAAGTATTCGAGTATTTACAGGAGTATGTAAAAAGCTTTTCTCGATAACACTTAAACCAGATTGCAGTTTGAAAGGCATCGTTACGTTTTTTTTGTGCTCGAGGTGGCCCAGTGATTAAAGTGCAAACTTACTGACCGGAAGGCCTGTGGTTCGAATCCGACCGCTCCCTCTCAGTTACTCCTGCATAGGCTTGGTAAACCTGACAATATATCGGTCCTCATGCTTTTTTTTCGGGTGTCGCGTCAGCTAGGCTCTACAATGGTGCTGCAGCTGGACCATATTTTACTTCATTTGACGTTATGAAGAACAAGCAATCTGGTGTACTCCTTTTCAATGAATAAGAGATAACAATTTAGATTGTTTGAGCGGATTAGACTTTTGAATCCATACTTGATCGTTCAAACGGCAGACAGCTTCAGTCAACTGTCTAGAAGAAGGGCTATGAAACTTTGGTTTTAGTTTAGCACATGCTCTACAGATGTGCTTTACGTCGTCGAGGGAGAAGGGAAGATTCTTTGAGCGCACAAGATGGCACATTCTGGTACTCCCGGATTGGCCCCGGGGAATGCAGTTCATGGAGCGTGTTCGTGCTTTTGACCGTCTCACAAAAATTACGACAGAGCATTAACTTCCCGGCCTTCCTTGCTCAGTCTATAAGCAGACCATTCGACTCGCGACCATTAGGTTTTGTCATCTTTTCCTTTTTCCTCTATCCTACCTTACATAAAAGTGACTGATCTCTGGTCAGTAATTACTTTTACAGTACTTTTCAGTTGCTTTGAAAAGTCGTCCGCCGAACTAATCAACACCAGTTCAGTTGTAACACCCTTCCGGTGCCTGGCTTCCATGCCACCTGAAGGGAGCACGACGTCTGAGATATTGTCACGTTGTCCATGCACAGACAGGGGCATTCGGGGTACCAATGTTGGGTCCGAATCATGGACCTTACAGTTAGTTCGCACCTTAACCACTGAGCTATCTTGAGCTGGCGCGGTCTAACAGTCCCTTCAGTAACCTTAAAAATAAAAAATGATGGTGTAAGTCGTTCTATGCACAGTTGCTGCACAAACTAAAGGGGGCGTATTAGGGTTGACATATTGAGATTGCTCAGGCCTGCACAGTAGCAACTAAAAAGCCGGGGTTGGGCTCAATCCACGTTCAGGAGCTATGCACCCTAAACGCTTAGTTATATGGAGTCACAGGTTGAGTGTTAGTAGGTAGAAATCATTTGACACAATCTCCTCGGACAGCCCGGCTGTTCGCTTGCAAGTGAATTGACCCGCCTGGACTTATTAGATAATTCGGTCTCTGTAAGATTGGTGGCTTTATAGCTTTTATTTCGACCTAAAGGAAGATAGTTTCAAGGTAAAAAACAGCTGTTACCTGTTTTCTATCCAAATTAAATTTTTCACCACTTCGTCATCAAATCCGACAAAGGCAAAGCCTAAAGTAAAACAAAAGTACAACAATAAACCACCTTTGATTCTTACTCGGTTGACCGATATGTTCTTAACACGCTTGCCCATCAAGAAATGAACATTGTAAGTTCTTTGCATTATCGGGCTTTTGGGCTTGTGAGAGTATGCAAAGAGCTTTCCAAATGTTTTCGTATACAAAGTGGTGTCTGTCATTCCCACTTAATTTCTTGTCCAACGAGATAATGAGAGGTGAAGAAATTGCACGTGTTTTTGGAAGAGCTAAGCAAATCATTCCGTCCTCTGGCATGCGCTGTGCACCTACAACGTGTAAGGTCATCCTCCTGGAAATGCAGACGCCGAAGACCTTACAATTTAGATAGAGACCCCTGAACTTGTGGAGCGCTTTGCCTGTTTTGGAGGTTGTTTTAGTTCCCAATTGTAGTGTGACAGGTGGGCTCAATGCAGGAATCTGCAAGACTCGCGTCACGTTTGTTAATTTGAGACACCTATGACGTCAAGTCAGTATATCCCTGAATATCAAGGGAAGTATCAGTCTCTAGTACCGGCTGTTTTGTTTTATGACTGTAAAACTTCATCTCTGTGGAACTGAGACGTCTTCATGTCTTCAATAAACGTTTGGAGATGCTGCAAGACATGACTGCCGTTTGATGTTAGTCGCGTTCTTGTCAGTTTCCATCCAGATTAGCTGGGTGAGTGTCTGGAGTCGTAGGCACCTCGATGTTATGGTAGGTTAGCAACAAGTCCTTTGCCCGTCCACTTTTATTCTTTTTCCACAATGAGGCTTTGAAATAATTCATGGATGCACAACAGGAAAGCCTCAGTGTTTTGCACGGATGTTATGCAGCCGATGATAATGAAGATGACATGGGAATGAAGGAGATTACGAATGACCGGGATTTTGAGTGCACTACTCGCCGTCCAGGATGGGATCCATATTACCCTCGCCGTAGTTGGTTGGAGACTGCGAAATATGGTCGCTAACCTATGTCACTGGTGTTTGGGCGGTTGGCTCTTATCCAGATTGTCCTGTGGAGGATCTGGCGTGAATAGGCTAACAATTAAAAGAACGAAGTAGAAAAGCTACACACTGAGTAAATGCCTGAAAATCTAGATATCTCGAATGTTTGTTGCAAATCTGCACTAGGGTTCCTCCCCTCTGTTTTTGGCTTAATTGTGAGACCTTATCTGAATACCCCGGGATGCTTGACACTGAAGCACCGTTGTTCTTTTTTCCGCTGTTGATGATGATGTCAATGACGACCCTGTGATTGCTTTTCGCAATGTTTTCTCCCGGCTGCACGGAAGCCGCACCATACTGAATTCATTTGGAGAATTACCTATCTTAGTTTCATAGCACATTCACGTGATACCTCATGAGATCAAGTATCGCATGCAGTTACATTTTATGCGGAGCTTCACTTGTCTCAACTCCATGGTTTTCGGTGTTTGTTCATTTCAGCACTTCTTTCTAGGATCAGATGACTGTAGAGTTTTGTGATGGATTTGCAAGGCCTGAAAATATTGGTTTGCCTGGCGCTCATTCGACTCTACCACCACGTCTGGTTGTTCTTTATGGAAGTCAAACTGGTTTAAGTCGGTCCGTTGCAGAACGCCTTGTATCCCAAGCCTATTATTTATTTTCTACAAAATCTAACCCAGTGTCTTCATTACCTAAGAACCAGAGTATGAATTTACTGGTTTCTCTCTGTCCTTTGGATTCGTATGCACCAATGAACCGATTGGCCAAAGAATGTGATCCGATAGTTTTTGTGTGCTCCACAACGGGATATGGAGTGCCACCGGACAACATGTGCCAATTTTGGCGGCGCCTGATGAGTCGAAATCTTCCAATCGGTCGGGCACTTTCAACTAATCTAAGGTTTGCTGTTTTGGGTCTGGGTGATTCATCGTACCCGAAGTTCAATATTGTGGCAAAAAAGCTTTATCGTCGACTTGTGCAGCTGGGAGCAAGTCCGTTGCCTATTTTCTCACCAGTAGGCGATAGTTCAGCGGATTGCGGTCTTGGTCTCGCTGACGAACAAGCTGAGCTGGGCGTAAACAGCGTGATGAACTGGTGGGTTCCTCAACTTTGGACTGTGCTTTCTGATTACTGGCACCTCCCTTTTGTCGCTGACTGTGCACCCATTCCACTGACTTATTCATTTCTGGAAAGTCCTCCGGTATTGTCTAGTTTTTGGCCAACGTATGATGTGACTCTGGCCACGCCTGTTCCCACGTTTGCATTCGACGGGGATGCAGATTTACTGACCTCTGACAGCATCTCCTACATAGCCGATCGGGACTGTGAGTTCGCGTTTAAGGGTCATCCTTTCCCACCGTCATCTCAATGGTTTCGTGTGCTTCGGAATGAACGAATTACGGCAGCTGGTCACTTCCAAGATACGCGCTTGATTTCGCTGTCATCTTGTGAGGTAAGTGATAACGTAACGTTTCCTCATTTTCCCTGATTGAGAACAACACTAATATTGAAAATTAGTGCTTTACTGATGTACGCAAGTTACTTGCGAGGGGGGGGGGTGCCCCGGTGTCCAAAAACGACAGAGGACAGTGGCCAAGTTCCTCTATCTTTTTGTCTGTTCTCTTTGTGCGGTCAGCCCTTGTATTAGGCGAGTGGGGTCCGATGGTGATGTGGATGGTGTTGTATATCCGTGTTGTTTCATGGGAGTGCATTTGTCTCACCGCTGTTGTAGTGCAAGATGCACCCGTCCGGCCACTGAGATTGGTCGCGAACCGTCGAGATGCGATGGCATCGTAAAGGAGCTTCTAATAAGGAGTAAATTAGTTACCCACGCCTACTACAAAAGCATGTTGTTTTGTGATCTCGCCACCCAGTTTCATGAGTGCAGTGATTGCTTCGCCGCAGTGCCTGTCATCTATAGACTACGATTTTTCCACCCTTGGGGGACCACTTCAGTATACTGAAGTAGTCTTCATTGGAAAGGACTTTGTCATTGAGGGGTGGGGGCGAGATGGCTCAGTGGTTAGAGCGCGAATTTACTGACCGGAAGGTCCGACCTCTGCTACTTGACTTCCCCTGTCTAGGCTTAGGAAACCTGGCAGTATCCCGGCCCTCGTGCTTCTTTGGGGTGGCATGACAGCTAGGTACCGAAGGGGTGTCACAGCTGATCGATTTATTTTTTTCCATTGAAGCGTGCCGTTTAGAAGGGGGAGAGCTGTATAGTAAATGTTTAGAAAATAACCACCCAAGAGTTCGTTTCATTGCAATTTTTTAGGATTGCGGTTGTAGCAAGCGTTGGTCCGCGCACACCTTAGTGGCTTGCTCAGTCTTGAGAATATTAAGGACCAGTTATCAATGGTTCCTTCTTCACGGATCGAGTAATTTTAGTCACAGTAACGATATCATTTTCATTCGTTATGAATTGTTGCGTTTATCACATATCCTTGTGGATCCAACCTCCTCACAAGTCTCAAATCCAGCTTGTGGACAACGCTAATCTTCACTTCTTTGACTCCTTAAACTTTTATGGGCATCTTATCACTTTCAAAGGGTTGATTCGATACGAAAGGTCATTATACAAGGCAACCACCACGCACGTTTCAGGGAGATTGTGTAAAAATACATCAACCATTTGTTGTTAAGCTATCTCCGACCTAAAGCTGCCACCTTGACATGGTGATCGGGCCTGAGTGTTGCAATGAGCCCGCGGGTTACAATGACTAGAACTTCGTTACACAAGGTGCAACCATGTCGGGAAGGCTAAAGGGGAGAAGTCAGACAAAGAGCAGCGAGACCCCGTACTACGACTGATCGTGCTACGAGGCGGTCTGGGGGTAAATTCGTACTGTTCTATGCAACAGGAGTGTGAAGGCAGTAAGATGTTTCCTCCCAGGTGACCAGCATGCCCATATTTATGGAAGAAGCGATGCTGCATTTCCTCGAAGAAGTCGGGTTGAAAAAGGTCGGCCCCCACACTTCGATCGCCCAATGGTTGCCCGTGACCTTCAGCGCATTATCCATTGCGGTCGAAATACTTTTAAAACCAAAGAGCTCGATGCTGCTCAAAACGCACCTTCTGTGCGCAGCAGCATCAGGAATGAGGCAGTAATGCCTTATTCTCTGTGCCCTCGGGTTAGGCTGAGCAGGTCAGGCTACTGAATCATCGGCTCCGGGCAGGGTCCCCAAAGAAAAACCTACATTCTCCCACTATCTCGTTGGTCAGACTTCTGAGTCAGAGGCTAGGGCCAGGGTCCCCGAACAAAACCCTACATCTTCCCATTGCCTTGTGGGTCATACTTTTGAATCAAGTGCTCAAGGCGGGGTACCTCAGCCAAACCGTTTTTCTCGGCGTGTGCAACCGGTAAGTATAATTTGCCCTTGCAGTTCGATGTCCACCACACAAGCAAACGTCGCTGGGTCATTTGACTGTCAGTTATCCGACCGAATGGCCTTATGCTCTTCGCTTTCTATTAACAATAGAGTAAATAACACGAAAATCCACGAAGTCCTTTCTATATAGGAGCTTTTGACGTCCGTACTCTATGTCAAATTGACAAACAGGCGATGATCCCTTAAGATTGATGTGTCTTCGAAACACGCATGCAAGACCCAAGCGTGGAGGATGAACTCAGCTCTTTCACATTTCTCCCTCCGTGTTTTCGGTGACCCGGTCGCGATGACTCGTGAAATACATGGCGTGGGAGTTGCACCCAGCCCCAAAGCTGAACGCGCTTTGCTGGGTTAGATCCCAGTGAACGGTAGTCTTTGCACCGTCCGGTTATCCAGTTCAATCAAGCTCAATACCTCTCAGCATAAAAGCGGTGTCTCTTTGTAGTGTCGGCCTATGCCACAAGGGACTGCAGTTCTGGGTGATGCTGAGTAGGATACTTTCTATCGAGAGCCATCTGGGCTCATTCGTCAGGCGAAAAGTACTGACATTGTGATCCTTGCAGGCGATTTGAATGCTCAAGTAGGTCGTCTGAGCTCCTAGGAATAACATTTGGGCGGCCGATTCGGAGTCGATGCTCGCCGCACAGACAACGGAGATCAGCTCCTTCAGTTATATGCTGATCATGAACGGTTTATGGAAAGTACGAACTCTCAACATAAACAATCGCATCGCGTAACCTAGCGGTGACCAACTGCAGATCAACCGTGAGCCCAGTTGGATCACAGCCGTTAGCTACCAACGGAGAGCCACAATTCAGGACTGTCGTTTCTTTTGTGACACACCACTTGATTCCGATCACGCTACGGTGCGTGCACGCCTGACATTTCGTTTCCCTCCAGGTCTTCGCAAGTCAGCAGGAAGCGTGCCAATTCACTATCTTCGAAGAGCTCAACAGTATCAATCCGAGCTAGCCCAACAACTCTCCATAGTAAACCAACACTGTGGTGGCAGTGAGCATGTAGATAAAGCGTGGCAAAATGTGAAAAGAGCTATTTTAGCGGCGTCCAGTACTGTCTGTCCGTCTTCTATTCGATTACAAGACGACTGGATGTCGTCGAGATCGCTATCCATGATTAGTGTCAGGAAAGCCATACCAACAGGCAACGAGTACGACGGCTCCCTCAAATCCCTCAAACACCAAATAACGAAGAGTCTAAGGAAAGACTGAGGGCTCTGGTAGGCAGCGAAAGCTCGGGAGATGGGGAAGGCTTTTGCTACGGGAAACAGCCATGCTCTATATCAACTAATACGATCGACTGGCCCTAGGAAAGCAACGGCCAGCGAAACGATAAGTTAAAAAGGTCGCTCATTAATTGATTCGTAAAAACGTCGACTGGAAAGATGAACCGAACACTTCGAAGAACAGTTCAGCTGGCCTCCTGCAACACAGCCTGTGGAGACAACGCATACGGGCGAACGGAATGTAAACCTTGATAGCCCGTCGGAAGAAGAAGTAAAGTACAAATGCCGTATCCAGCCCTCCTCAAATAAGGCGGAGAATCCCTGGTGACCCATCTGACAAAGCTTATTGGTGCTATATGGAACGAAGAGTAGGTGCCTGTAGAATGGGGCGTGTCAACAGTCATCCCATCCTTAAAAATGGTACACGAACGCTGTGTGAAAACCACCGTGACATCATCCTGGTAGCTGTGGCATCGAGGGTGCTCTCTGATTTTATCCTTTAAAGGTAGATTGAACACAGGGAGAGGCAGATCCGTGATTTACCGTCTTCCCCGATGGGGACCGCGAAACGGGCCACATCAATGGTTGAAGACATTGCCAGACATGGCTCAGTCACGCCCTCGATGGTGCTCGTGCATCGAAGCTATTGCCTTCAATGCCTAGCTTCCTTCACAATCCAATTTATTAGCTACCGCCTCTAACGCACAGCTACCTATCCCACTTCTCCAAATCATCGGTGAACGAAACTGTGACAGCTACAACCAATGTACGACAAGTACGCGGTTGTTACAATGCTGATGAGGATGTTAAGGTATCATGTACGAGATGGCTCAAGTGGTTAGCGCGCGAATTTACTGACCGGAAGATCTGTTGGTTCGAACCCGACCTCTGCCTCTCGACTTCCCCTGTCTAGGCTTGGGCAACCTGGCAATATCCCAGCCCTCGTGCTTCCTTCGGGTGGCATGGCAGCTAGGCACTGGAAGTGTGTTACAGCTTGTTATGTTCTCTACTAATCAGTCAATCAACCTTGTCAGTTACACACAAAATTGAGAAGACAAAAAGCCTTGGGGAAATTATACTGCGGCAACTGAACAGCCAATATCGAGATTCGAAGAATCAGGAATGGAATGGAACAAACAGTCCAATGAAAGGCTGAAATAATAGAGAGAGAATGTGAGCAATATGTTCGTAGGAGGAGTGCATCCTAACACAGCTGAAAGGTTTTTCTATCATCTACTGGTTCAGCTAGCGTGGTATTCAAAAAGGTCGGATCCGGGCAGTTCGGTGAGTTACCTACTAGGCATATTAAAATACCCAGAGGAGGAACAATTTTGGCAATGACAGAAACGACAGAACAGCAAATTTGCAACCTTTGCACTGTCAGTGCCCCAATCTGCGTATTGCGCTGATTTGACCGCTTTGTCTAGCCTTCATTCCCACGACTTGGATAAACTAGAATATGGAAAGTCTACTTAAACATTATGTGAACGCAACAGTGCAACCATGACAAGTAAGTTTTTTCAAAATTATTTTTCTGTTTCACAGATTTCAGTGTATTCGATGGGAAATGTTGGTTGTTAGTGATCTGGAGAAAGAGAGACACTGGAAGATCACATTAGTGCCTCATATTAAACGTTGTACTACGGAATAAACAATAAAATGCACTTTCGTCTTCTTTGTGCTGATAGATCTGGCTTCTCCCGTGGCACGTGTAGTTTTAACTTGTTCCTAAGTTTGGAACCTTTTTTGTGAACACCGAGGGTGTTTCTTATAGAGCATAGTACCAGCGGGTCTCGCTTCGACGTGGTTCATCGTACAGCCGAATGCAAACACGAGAGTTGAGCTGCTATAAGTGTCTGGATGAGAGTACTTACTTGGATAGGGCAACGGACAGCGAGCACTTTTCTTATCTATTCGCTCGAGTACAGTCATTTTCCATTCAGTAGATAATCTGAAGTCGAAACTAAGGATGATCATTTCGTTTTGTAACAGTTATTTTCCTTCCCTCTCTATCTGATGCCTCTTGGAGAGTTGTATAAGCTAACATTTGCCTGTTTCCTCGACTGGTCCCTCTGTTCGTTAAGTTGAAAGTTATGGAAGTTTCGTTCGAAAAACAGAACTTTCCGTAATTTTTGTTGTTGCTGCATTCTGGTTGACAAGATTGCTTGCACTCTAGAGTACTACTGGCTGCTCCAAAATCCCAGACTTGTTAAAAGTAGCAATCGACCGACGAACCGAATTGGTGTGTAGCGGTGATTAGCTCTCACAATTAACCATTTTGATGTTCAGTTTAGACTTGAACGAAGACAAATAAACCTGACTTCGTTGTCGCATTTTTCCTTGGTTTCCCTCATAATTTGGTCTCCATAAATCTACCAAGTTTAGTTGATTCTGTGAACACAGTTCATCCGTTGTCCTTAGTATCTTCGCAGTCCTGTAACCATTGGATTGATATTTTATATGGATGATACGTATGCTGTTTACTACGTAAAAAGTCGTTCAGCTGTAGCGCCCTTTCGATGCCTGGCTGCCATGCCACCCGAAGGTTGCACGAGGGCTGCGATACTGCCAGGTTGCCCAAGCCTAGATAGGGGAAGTCGAGAGTCAGAGGGCGGGTTTGAACCACGGACCTTCCGGTCAGTAGATTCGCGCTCTAATCACTTTGTCCGTCTCACCTTTGTTTATCACGTACTGTGTGTCCATTCCAGGTGCAGGCGAACCTTAAAAATGTGAGCAGTTCGATTGACATTTCGGTTTCCAGGCGTCGGCCAGCATTTTTTTATATCTTTACAAACCTTATTAGGTACTGTTGAGTCTGATATGCGGTATACTTTCTTTCCATAGACTTCCCGTTTTCGAATATATTTCCGTCAACTTTAGGACAGTCTTTTCTCTGTAGTAGTTCTGGCGTTCTTTGGAAACCGTGGTCTTTTTATATCAGACTAGTTTTTGTAATCGTTGGTTTCGAGAGTGTCGGAAATCGCGGAATCTATGTAAGTTTTGGCCAAATCTAGTTCAGTTTTATGCACCGCAAAGTAGTTCATTTTAAACTTTCGGCGAATATTGACAAGATTAGCGATTCCCACGAAGTAGGTGACTGCTTCCATTTGCAGAGTGCCTATTGGATTTCGTGTCATTAGTGAGTGAACTTGATACAGACGTATGCTGACATAGCTCCGCTCGTCTTTGTGGAAAACTGTCTTGAAGGTATTGATTTTTATCGTTCTAGAAGGGCTTGGTGAACAATCGGTAATTTCCAACTTGGCCAGGTTTCGCTTCTGACACAAGCTTGATCGGGCCAAGCTTTTATGTCAAAAGCGAAACGTTGCTCAGTTAAAAACTACCGATTGTTCACCAAGCCCTGAAACGATGACTTCTCAGTCGGTTTCAATTTTTTCATCTTGATATCCAGTTTATGCAGACGAAGCCGGCCTTGAAACACTTGGATTAATGTACTCTTTTGGGAGTTTTCTGTCGGTATTTTGATCTCGTTGTATTCATTGCTTTAATTCCGATGATTTTACGAGGTCGAACTGAAGGATCCCTTATTTGGGTCTGTTTTCGTTGTGTTGTTTAGCTCTTGCTGTAACTCGTGTCAGGTGTTTATTCTGTTTGTCGCAAGCAGCTTCCATAGTCTGTCACATCCGAATTGGAAGTTCAGCACCTGCGGACAATCCGCTTGGAGCTACTCTGTGGAATCGGAGAGTTGGAAGTTGGATTTTCAGCAACCTTATGAGTAGCATATCATAAAAATGAATGTGCATTTAGTCACGGTGCTTCTGTGTAGCACTGGATGTTGCTGTTCTTTTGTTTTTCAAAGTACGACAATCCTAGGTGTCCAATGTAACTACGATTGGTACAAAGCGCACTGCATACTTCCCCACACTGACCGCTAGTTTGCAGCCACCGTTTCTGACGGCCCATCCGAATTCTGGTCGTGACCCTTCTGAAATGGGCTAGGACCACTTTGATAACGATGGACACAGAGCGAATCAGCCTCCAATTCAATAAGTACTCTGTCTCTTCTCCAAGATTGATGAGATAACATGGACTTTGTATGGACATGTGGTTTGCTTGTTATAAATATGACATTTCCAGGTTGTATGCTTGTCGACCAGGTAACATGCAATTAAAAAGGCAAATGGTCTTGATGGAATGTGTACCGAAGAAAGATTGGTAGCATGATGATCCGACATGCATGGTGGCTCAGCGACAGTCCAAATGGTAAGCCACGATTGAGAAAGGGATTTTGTTGGATGAAGCGATCGTTTTTACATAGTTCCGTCAGCCCTACTTGCAAGTTTTCTACTGCATTTTGAGATTAGGATGATCTTATTATTGTGGGTTTGCCACAGATGTGTCCGTTGCTTTCCTCGGTTATTCCAATTTTGTTAAAACACGGTTGCGTGCACGTCGAGGATTCACGTGGTTCCTGTTGCTTACACTAGATGGTGTGCATGGCCCTTGCACTGGTCTATTAAACGGTCGTTTTGAGTATGTTCGACGGAGGGTTTGGATGACTCCGGCGATTGGTACAAGCCTTTTGCGAGATAGGAAAGCCCGTTTCCACGCCAGATAGTACTGATCGTAACCAAACAGCAAAGCATACATCTTGACAGTCGGCTTTGCATAAAACCGCCTAACTAAACACAGCGTAACCGTAACCGAATCAGGTCTTACGAATGAATGTCCCATATTCTTTAGTTCTTTAAGTATTCATATCTGAATTCAGAACAAGCAACATCTTCCGACAAGGCGTTGTCAACCAAGCAAACAGATAACACAGTTGAGGGCCTACAAAGTTTGAGTTTATCGGTAAAAATGATGAAAATTGGTACCTAACTGAACCCATCTTTTACAGGCACCGTCGATGAGTTCACGTCAACACGTTCGCGCAGTTTTCTTTTATCGCAATCAGGGTAGGCGTAGCCTAATTGTAGCTTCTTCAGCTTTTTTGGTTGGCTTTTGGTGGACCTACTTTGGATGGTCGGTTAGAAATGAGTGAGTTAACAACCTCTGTCATAATCTCTGATTGAAAGAAAACTGGCAGCATTCTAACGGCTGTAGTATGTTGCATGTTATTCTACTCAGCTAACAATTGGCTATGAAACTTGACCCAGCAAGTTATGGACTTTTTATGCAATATGTCTACCGGCGAATAGTCACGATGGTGAGTGGATGAGCATCCTGTGACACTGTCTGACAGTTTGCTAGCAGTCAGACTGTCTGAAGAATTAGGAAGCTGGCCACACCGAGTTTCACATATGATTCAAACTTCTCCACCTATGCAAGTGGGTTGGCCGGCGTGTAGTCCGTGATCGACAGCCTGAAATGGCCAGCTAAGATATTATTTGTCTGATGAGTAATGAGTCCCAGTAAGGTCGGGAATGCCTCATGTGGTTGAGTTTTTGCAGGTCCATTTAACTTTTTACCGATTAACTGGCAACTATGCGGACTGGGACAGTTGGGGTGGGAGCGGCTGTCAAAGAGGTCTTTGGCTCATGGCTTTTCAACTCATCCTGTCTAGTCGTCCAGTCTAGGTATACTTGCAAGCGTTTAGCTCGCACCTCCTACGGGTCATATCATAGCTAGGCAAGGAAAGTGTCGATGCTACTAGTCAGGATTTTACCTTCGCCCAACGCACAGATTAAAATGAATGCTATTCGCTTTTGCGTAAACCCGATAATCTGTACCTCCAACCCGCATTTTTATCTTTCTTTCTCAGCTAGAGACCGAACAACAATTTCAGCCTGGCGACGTACTTTTTGTTCAACCGCGAAACAGCTCACATGATATTAGCCTATTATTTCAAGTTACTGGAGCCGATCCAAGTCAACGGTTGTGTATCAGTGAACGTGATACCAACTTTCCTCTGCCGGCACCGTTGCTCAGACAAAGAGAAGGGGATTTTCGAGGTCTTTCAGCTGCTTGGTTGGCCACATATTATTTTGATTTGACTATCATTCCAACGGCCACATTCTTTGCCAATTTAGCTGCAGTTGCCTACCAAGTACTGTGCAAACCCACAGGTTCATATCGTGTTCAAGACCCCGATCGTTTGAAAATGGAATTAGAGCGTCTATCTGAATTAGGATCAATTTCTTCACCGGAATTTGTGGAGGATTTACATGACTACGTGAGTCGTCCTCGACGTCGTCTTGTAGAAGTTTTGGCTGACTTTCCTGCTACATCATCTCTACTGTCACCAGTCCGATGGTTCGACATACTACCTGGCCCCATTCGTGCTCGGCCTTACTCCATCGCATCTGCACCCCCAGACATTGAACTGCTTGTTGCTGTGGTAACTTATCAAACTCGTATGTCAACGCCCCGTCAGGGTCTTGCCTCAACCTTTATGTCCAGTTTATCAATAGGCGACCGTCTACCTGGCTGGATTGCTTCTAATGTGGCCGGTGGGTTCAATTTCATCTCAGCATTACAAAACCCACCCAGTCCCCTTCTTCTGATCGCTCCAGGCACTGGAGTAGCGCCCTTCCGCAGCCTTCTTTGGCATCAACATCGACTACTTCCTGGACTGGGAAGTAATGTCCTCTTTTTTGGTTGCCGATATTCGAACAAGGACTTCTACTTTGCCGATGAGTGGTCACGTCTAGAGGCTGAAGGTACACTCAAACTCATACCAGCGTTCTCACGGGATCCAGTCTCAGTTCGTGTTCACGATGGCTCGAAGGCCGTCGGTAGCCGTGTCTATGTACAGCACAAAATCCGCGAGCACGCCACTCTGGTGTGGTCTACGTTGTCACATCCACAGGCATGTGTGTTTATAGCGGGCAACGCCAAAGCAATGCCCGGTGAGGTTCGCGAGGCACTCATGGATGCATGCGAGCAGGGTGGTAACTTAACGGCTCACGAGGCCGAAGCATTTATTACTCATCTTGAGGCCATGGGTCGCCTGCAAGTAGAAGCCTGGTCTTAGCATTTCGTTGCATTTACTTCCCTGTGTGATTTTTCTGTACATATCTAGACCTTAAAAATGCTTGTACACTTCCTTCCGTCAAATGGCTGCAGAATAAAACCGAGTACTTTTTTGTACTTTTCTCCTGCTTCCGTTTGTTTGAGAAGTATTGGCTTTGTGCGTATTGGTGCTCATATTACTTACTCAGTTATTTACATTCTGGTCGACTTTGTCACTTTGTCATGAGGGCGTTTAGATTTGTTGATCCTTTTGGAAAGGGATTTATCTCTCCATATTATCTGGCTGCGGTAAAACTCATCCCTTAATTATATAGGTTTAAGACACAGGCCATCAACTTAAATGACACGACCGGACTGTGAGCTTCAACAGATCTCGACTATGCGACAATAATACTTGTCTAACCATATATATCAGTCGCAAGAAGTCGTTCGCTCATGGTCGACTGTCATAATTGCTTTAGGCACCACCGAACATCAGCTCTTCCTTTACGAAAATATACTGCGATACCTCGAATATCATGCCAACTGAATCACGAGGCGGACTGTGGACAGCACATTCACAGCACATCATAAACGAGAGATTCAGACGGTTCCCTTGTGAAAACCAAATTGATTTGCAAATGAGTGTGTTTCTTGAAGATTGCAATCGCTTTGAAATGTCCGAATCACGAGCTGTGGACAGCACATTCACAGCACATCATAAACGAGAGATTCAGACGGTTCCCTTGTGAAAACCAAATTGATTTGCAAATGAGTGTGTTTCTTGAAGATTGCAATCGCTTTGAAATGTCCAGTTTCAAGGGTCAAATCTTGACTTCATCGCGGTTGATACCCAGTAAAACGTAACTTGAAGACATTACAGCTATATGCGCTTCTTACTCACTCATCACAACGTTGCTCGATGCTGAGCAGTCGACCCCAACTAGCATCCCCACCGAATTTTTGGGTGTTTTATGCCGACGGTCGTGATCTGAGGTATACATTCGAAAAACAGCAGTAAAAAGTCCTCTAGCTCCATCTTCTCGACCATACTATGGGCATTTCACTGCATATCTTTGACATCGTTACCACTATTTGGAGGTTTCCAGCGACATCTTCAACTGTACTGAATGATCATCAGTTTGCTTTCGAGAGGCAGGAAAAAGCTGATTTCTCAGGATTCAGTACCTGAGGACTTGTGCCTTTACGGTTGTTCGGAGGCCACCCGTCCTTAATAAGCGAAAATAACATCATTTGGACGGATGTATCACGTGCAGGACACGGACCAAACGAAGGCATGCCCCGATTGGTCAGAATGTCAGCCAATCCGAGTCGAGCATCTTCGACTCGATGCTTCTCGCCCCCTCACGGAGATTCTGGCACGACCTTGCGGAGCACCCTGTGAGTACCCTATAAATACAGCTGCAATAATTTTCCTCTGTCTCCATAAAGGGCTGTGTAGAGCTACCATGCCTTTTGATATACCATAGTGGGTGGAGCAGGAAGCCAAGGGACCGATACAAAGTTGCACTACCGTTCATCAAGACACAACAATGGTCGAAATAGCGACCATACAACTGTGTTGTGCTTCACCTCACCAATACTTTGATATATTATCGGCATCGATTGCAGCAACCATACCATTTAGATCGTGCTCCAAAAACAGTCTCATGATTTGCCACACATAATCCATGAGATTACTTTCGTCTGTCGGGCCTAGCAGTTGTGACCATTAACGCATAAGCATTTTTCTCACCTTAGCTAAGCAGCAATTAACAGTGATGCCAAACAGTGTTTACGTTTTCCGGCTTTTGAAAAGGATCACTTCCTAGGGCCGAAATTCTCTGGTCCCTTTCTAACCTGCCGGTTAATCTGTTCGATCCAATCACAAGGTTCACGGGACCAGGACGAAGTGGTCCTTTTAAGTTGAGGGATCTTGTTCGAGAGGAACAAAGTGACTTGACAACAGGGACTTTCTACTGACCGGACAAAATAGCATACAAATACCCAGTTTTTTCACACAATTTGAGCACCAGCGTACGTTCCCATTCACGTTGTCCCTTTGATATATGGACAACCGTATGAACAGTTTGGAGCTTGAAAACCTGCACAAAAAACGCCTTATTGTTGTGGATTCTTTGGATTGACTTGTTTGTACTAGCCTTGTGATGAAAGACTGTTCCGTAACTTTGGTTCACATGGCTACACTGAACTACAGACAGGTCCTAGGATTTAGCTCACTTTGCGCCGTTTTGTCTTTGTCGCTGATTGTCTACAAACTGCATCCCAGTGAACTCACTGTTAATCCATCGATTATTTCTCCTTTGTTTTTTGGAACCAGTATAGCTTATAGGGGTGAACATCCAACACTAAGTAAGTGTATTTCGGTTAGGAATTTTTCTGATCTGTATTTCAACCAAGGCCTTTATGCTGTAGTTAATTTATGTTGAAAAAATTGAAAAGCACTGTGGAGCAGTGCTCCGTTCATTTTGGAAAGCACCAGAAGTATGCATCCCCAGGGCATCCAGAGAGACCGGATAATAATTAAGCATTGTACCGTTAGGCCGATCAGCAGTGTCTATAATTTGCGCCTGGACAGGATATGGCACCGCTATCAACACCATCTACACCTGTGCAGCTCTGTTCGAAACGGGTAACTAATTTTTGGGAACCATATATTGCGCAAACCCTGGGATGTACGATGATCATAAAGAAAAGTGATCACACGTTGCATCCGTTGAATATACTGAAATACCATTCTTGTAATACCATCGGTAACTGAAGTGGCAGCTTTTCTTTGCACGCCCAAGATACCGCAAGAAGTCAGTGGTCTCGTGGCTGTCAGTTTGACTGAGTAACAAACAAACAAGTTTACATTATTCTAACTCACAGAGTGACACTTGAGTTCAATGATTAGTGAGAATAGCCACCATTACACGTTTGCATAATCCCTAATCAAAATAGCTGAACCGCATTGACTAATTAGAGCGCCACTACCGATGACCAGTTGACGAGCAAAGGGGAAACATACCACAGTATTACTATGTTTGAAGCAGCAAAAGTAGGGGCAAAAGCAGACTTACCTTTGGCAGACGTTGAATATCAAAGGGAAGAAATTACCTAAGCAGTTCACCGGGGCTTTTTTTGTGTTTTGGAGTGGGCGCACTGGAGGCAGGCGAGTTCGATTGTGCTCAAATATATGCCCCCGCGGTTAGCACAGTTCCAAGTGGCTGTGGTTGTGCTTGGTCGTTTTGATTGATGAGTTTGTGGGCACTAAGATATGTTGTACCCCAAAGCTCTTCAGACGGCATTTCGCTAGTTCTCTGTTTCCATTGTGAGATTCTCCTAAGATCTGAAACTAAAACTGCAATTTTTCAGAACTTCTTTTTAGGGCTTGCATAGTAGTAGGATTCAATCCATCCTCGAATTCGGAATGACTATAGACCATTCGTTGAGCACGTCACGAAAGCGAGGAAAACTTGGCCGTATGCGGGTGAAAATTTGTTTGGCCCGGCTCTTTTTTCCTTACAAACCGCTCCCCGGCCTTTTACAGATTGAACTGGACACGTCTGTACAGGCTGCGGTTTGGTTTTCAAAGCCGTTCGTGCTACAGTTTGTTTTCCAGACTTTTCTAAAACATTTGTGTTTCGTTGTTTCACACCCATTTGGTTTTGTCGATGCTTTTGAAAAGTGGTCACCATGCGACAGCAATTTCTGACACTTGTGACGTAAAGTTTAGGACCGGTCGAAAACTGCCTATTTTGATAGGTTGGACAGACAATCCATCGATTTATTGGTGGGCAGCATTCCATGTTTTGCAAGACAGACAACAGTTTGCAGACCGAGCTTTATGGCAGACAGAGAGAGTTATTTAGATCACTTTCGACTAACAAAAAAAGCCTACTTTAAATGTTGTTGATTATTGTGACTGGCTGGACCCATGCATTAGGCGGTTTAGAGCGGTGCGTTGGCATGACGAGGCAGGAGACCTACTGACGTTCTGATGGAGTTGATTTCCGAAAGCTTCTTCTTCTTTGAGATTCCTCCAGCTTTTTCCGCGACCTTTCTAACCTATGCTTGATTCAAATTCGAAGTGCGTTGGCCGGCGAGATGGCCAAAGTGGTTGGAACGCGAATTTACTGACTGGAATGTCCGTAGTTCGAACCCGACCTCTGACTCTCGACTTCCCCTGTCTAGGCTTGGGTAACCTGACAGTATCGCAGCCCTCGTGCAACCTTCGGGTGGCATGGCAGCCAGGCATCGAAAGGGCGCTACAGCTGAACGACTGACCGGCTAAATATGACGAGCAGATTAGTGGTGCATACAAAGAGGTTGCTATGATATCCATCTAAAAGGACTAATGGGAGGTTACTCGAACAACATTTCGGTGTTAGCGAACTACAATCGTTTGCACATTGGTTTTGACGAGAGACTCACCTGGAACCCGGCTGAATCGCTCTTTTTATGAGGTTTCAGTGTGTTATCATTGGGTTTTTGCTGGTTGCTAAAGAACAAGGTCGACATGAGATGCTGATTTATCATTCTGAAGAAACAGGTAGAAGATTCCATAAACTACTCGTGTCACACCCTGGCAAATGTGAACCACTCTCGTTACCGTACTGATGTATTTGGGATACAAGCAACAGCCGTGGTTGGTACACTGACCGAATTCGTCCAGGCAAAATTGTTAGAGGCGAAATCCCGTCCAAGAACTGGGGAGCAGTAGACGTCGCGTGATTTCGTGTAGATGTATGTAATACGTAGCACTGAGAGACCATTTCGCAGTATTCTTAGTTTACCCCTCGTTTATGTCTCTCTACTTGTTTAACGGCTGAACGCATGCTTCTATGCCCTAACATCCTTAGGTGTGCAGAATCTTTGACCAACAAAAGTCGCTTCAGAAATAGTCCAACGAGCAAACAACTAATGAAAGCATGAACACTTCTGTTTCTCACTTCTACGTTGCTGTCTCTGGGAAATTCTCGACAATACGTACCGCAGTTCCCGGACTTCGAATTCGGCTCATTGTTTTATGCACTCCGGATAGGTCAGATGAAGTAGTTCATCCTCTGTTATTGACTATCAAGCCAATGGGTTATTTTCCCGGTTCATTTTTACAGAATTCATACAGTTGTTTTTATAATTAAGGTTTATCCACCACTGACGACCATCATGTCCATCAGTTGAATGGCAATCAGCTGGGCTACTTGATTTTTTAAATCCATATCAGATCGACAAATGCTTGCCCTAATACAGCATATGGTTTTCATCTTGAAGTGAACTCTTCCTGTCATGTGTTTGGCGGTTTCTCTAGTTACATTTTGCACTGAAATTTTCATTGCCTCCATACTAATCACAACTCTATCGAAAGAGTGCAAACCATTAGCCAAATACACTCATTTGCAGTCGTGGGCTGTCAGAGAATTTCCAGCAATCTTATGAGTAGTGCATTAAGTAGATGCAAACCATTGTTGCAGACCCTCAAAACTCACACTTTTTGTTTTGCCCATGAAGTTGCAAGTTACATAGTTTTGTCACGGTATTTCTTTTTGAAGAGCTTGTAGTTCCTTACACGAGTGGCGTACTTCCCAAGTAGATACATCATAATGAGAATCGATTTGTCAGGAACCGGTATTGAGCGGTTAACTCAATTGCTGATGTTATAATGTCTCCACCTTCGTCTACTTCGCACTGTGCGTTGATGGCCTAGACCGTTGAGTAGCCTTTATGGCTCACCGATCATTCGAATCGGTTGTGTTCATACCTGTTGTAGGCCATCGCTCGTGTCAGTGAAATAGACAACAGAGGTGACATTTCTGCTTGGTCATCGATGAATAGCACACAAGGCATAACGGATTTGGCAGAATTATTGACGATGGTTTGGCCTTAGCACACCAGTGAGCGTGTTTTATAGCTCAACGGATAGACTACTCAAACTAGACGACTCATGAGAAAACTTGAACCGTCGTCTCCATTGTCCCTGGTTTGACAGCAGCTTCATCTGGCTCCGTGCACTCAGTAACTTGCATTGACGCCATGTTACTCAATTAAAAATAAGTAGATCATGTTTGCCGTGGCATTCACTGAGGCCGTCCACCCCTACCTTGCACTCATAATCCGAGCCTTCCCTAGAGGTCTCGCATCCGTTGTTTTGGCTCTACGCCCGCTCATATAATAGAGTTGTCTCTTTCAAACTGCTGTTTCCTAACCGAGAGGTTAGGAAGTTCATTGGATTTCCGCGGAGATTATGGATCTTCCATTTTCCTAGGTGATGGGTTGCTGGTCCATTTTTCTTCGGTTCCGTTATTTCGGCAAACAACATAATAAAGTGAGACTTGACAAGGGAGAATTACGAATCTTTTTTGTTGTTGGCCGCTGAACTCTTTTGGACATGAATGGAACTTTTTTCTTATGATGACTACAGCCCGAAGTTTACATGAAGTCCTTTAACCTGGACGGCCTATGGTCTGATAATTTTGTAGAACGATATCCGTGGTACGTCCATCAATGTGGGTATGCTTCCGTCTTACTTCTCGCCTCCGGAGATTTCACAAGTGACAAATACTCGTAATGAACAATCGATAGCCGGTTCCACACCGGTTATCACATCGAAACAGGTGTGGCAGGAGATGGTGTCAGAAATAGGTGCTCATCTATTCAGGTGACGCGCGGTTGGATTCTTTAAATTCAAACAACTGTGTGTAACTTGGTAGTGCACCTTTAGTGATTGGTAAAAAAATCCGTCTTCACTTTGTCGTACACTGCAGCTTCTCCGCAATCATCCGTCCACATCGCTGATAACTTTTAACATACACAGTTTTCTCTGTTACCTTGTCGAATAGTGTGACGTTCGCCTCAGGTTTGTAACCTTTAACCTCGGTTGCAGTTACCCTCCATCCTGAACATCCTTCCCGCAACCAACCCTCGGCTGACGTTACCGGGAATCCCACGTCCCTGGAGGATCGAATCTGAGAGACATGTCGGTGTTTCAGCGCATCTTAATAATAGGATATTCTTTATATCCTTGGTTTCGAACATGATTCTTAAAAAAACATCTTTTGCCTTCCTGTTTTGAAAATATTCTCTATGGATTTGTCCTTGTTTGCTTCGTGCAGACTGAAAAAGCAATCAGTTGTTGAAAATCACAATATGGTCAGGGGCGGGACGGCCGAAGTGGTTAGAGCGCGAAATTATCGGTCGGTAGGTTCGTAGTTCGAATCCGCCCTCTGCCTCTCGACTTCCCCTGTCTAGGCTTGGGCAACCTGGCAGTATCCCAGCCCTCGTACAACCTTCGAGTGGCATGGGAGTTAGGCACCGGAAGGGTGCTACAGCTGAACGATTTTTTTTTCAGGAATCTTCCGTTGGATATTAGTCATCGTTGCATAACGTGACTTAGTCGGAGCCTGTTTGTGTCAGTAAGAATCAGATTTTCAGCATGCATCAGCTCATAGCCCTTCTTTTGAATCAGTAGTATATATATATATATATATAACCCATGTTTTGATCGCAACGAGCGGAAAAATTACTTTCCAACTCGCTTTTCTAGACTATCACGCCAGCGACTCTGTTGAGGTCATGCGGCTCAAA